ACCGCTGAGCCAAACCGGTTTTGGCCCCACACCTGGTTTTTATTAGCTTTGTTTACCGCTCTATTAAAAAAAAAAAAAAAAAATTAGCCGAAACCTGTTTGGCTCAATGGATAGAGCGTCGGCTTGGGAACTGAAAGGTCCCGGGTTCGATTCCGGTCAAGGGCATGTACCTTGGTTGCGGGCATATCCCCAGTAGGAGGTGTGCAAGAGGCAGCTGATCGATGACTCTCTCTCATTGATGTTTCTATCTCTCTCCCTTCCTCTCTGTACAAAATCAATAAAATATATTTTTAAAGTAAAAAAATAAAAATAAATTAAAAAAATTATTCTTGTCCTAGGTGGCTTGGCTCAATGGATAGAGCATCAGCCCAAGGACTAAAGGATCCCAGGTTTGATTCCAGTCAAGGGCACTTACCTTGGTTGCAGGCTCTGTCCTGGTTGCCCTGGTCAGGCATGTGCAAGAGACAAGTAATGGATGTATCTCTCTCACATCGCTGTTTCTCTCTGTGTGTTTCTCCCCCTCCCTTCCACTCTTTCTAAAAAATCAATCGAAAAAATATCTTGGGGTAAGGATTAACTTAAAACAAATCTTCTTGCCTTACTCTCCAGAGGTTTGCAGATTTTTTGGTTGCAGTAATCCTCTCCACCTTTAAAGTAGTCCTCCAACCCCTATTGAAATAATAATTTTTGTAAAATATATTTTATTGATTTTTTACAGAGAGGAAGGAAGAGGAATAGAGAGTTAGAAACATCGATCCATGAGCTGCCTCCTGCACACCCCCTACTGGGGATGTACCCACAACTAAAGTACATACCCTTGACTAGAATTGAACCTGGGACCCTGGAGTCTGCAGGCCTACGCTTTATCCACTGAGGCAAACGGGTCAGGGCTGAAATAATCATTTTTAATTAAACTTTCTCCTTACTAAGTCTGGATTTGATTTTTGTTTACTGCTCTATATATTAATAAATATAAATAAAGCAAATGACTTATGATTATAAATATCCTACCATTATGTAAATTCTAGAGGCCTGGTGCATGGATTCCTGCACCAGTTGGGTCCCTCACACTGGCCTGCGGGGATCGGGCCAAAACCTACAGTCCAACATCCCCTGAGGGGTCCCAGAATGTGAGAGGGAGCTCTGCAAAGTTGTTGTCACTCAGCAGCTCCTGCCTTGAGCATCTGCCCCCTGGTGGTCAGTGCACATCATGGCTACTGGTTGGTCAGTCAGTCACTTAGACTTTTATATTGTATATATATAGATCTCTTGAATCTATTCACATCTTACCAGCCTACTGTTAAACCCTAGATAAGATCACCATTATAATGAACTTCCTAAAATAATATTAAACTCTGATACCACCTAATTCCCAGTTGGTTTCCAAAGCCAACTGCAATTGGAATCATTTCTCATTAATACTACAAAACCATAGCCCTGGCCGTTGTGGCTCCGTTGGTTGAGTTGTTATCCCATGCACCAAAAGGCCGCCCATTTGATTCCTGGTCAGGGCGCGTGGGCTGTGGGATCAATCCCCTGTAAGGGGCATGCAGGAGGCAGATGATCAATGTTTCTTTCTCTCCCCTTCACTCTAAAAAAATCAATAAAAAGATATATTTGAAAAAAGAACCATTCATTTCATATACACAAACTAACAAGGCTGCATTACTCACAGAATTTTAAATTCATTTCAGTGTGGTTAACTGGGCTCCTACAATTAGGACTTGGAGACATTCAGTGTGACATTAGGAATAAGGGGGAAAGTGGAGAGTGTCAAAAAAAAAAAACTATTATAACAAAATAATTAATTAATTAATTAAAATTTTTTTTAAAAGAAAGAAAGTGGAAAGTGTCAGATTGTGCTATAAAAAAGAAACACCTCTTGGTGGAATATGGACACCTGAGTGTAAACATTAAGTAATCATGACAGAGGTTTCTACTTCTAAAGTCTGGAGCCAGTTTATTCAGGTTGGAAGTCTAGCTCCACCCATTCATGCTTCTACACATACAACCTTTGGCAGGTGGCTTCCGTTCCCTAGGCCTCAGTGTTCTCTCTGCGTGGGAGAGACGTGGATAACAAAGTACGCACCTCATAGGATTGTTGTGGGAATTAAATGAGATAATCCATGTAAAGCCCTTAAAACGGTGCCTGGCACATCGCAGTGATTGCTGGCATGACCCTGATTCCAGTGACTGCTTCTCCCCTCCCCCTCTCCCCCCCCCCCCCCGCACACCCCTCCCTGGGGATGTGCCCGCAACCAATGTACATGCCCTTGACCAGAATCGAACCTGGGACCTTTCAGTTCGCAGCCCGACGCTCTATCCACTGAGCCAAACCGGTCAGGGCATCAGTCTCCTTTTCTAATCCAGGATCCAACCAGCAGAATCACTTGGTGTCCCCAAAGCTTCAAGCTATTTCACATTCTGTTTTGTTCACAGTCGTTCCCTGTGCCTGGCATGGCATTCTCTTCACCTCCTGTGTGCCAGGCAAACAGCTTAAGAAAACTTTCCTGAGGCACCTGAGCCCCTCACCTCCTGCTTGCCAGCCTGGACCATCCCCTAGAGCACATCTCCTCCATTGCCTTTGTCTGCCCCCTTTGCCTTCATTGATGCTCCCCTGTGGGCCCTTACCCCTACCTAGCACAGTGCCTCGTGGCTAGCAAGGGCCCAATACCTGTTGAATAAGTGGAATGCATAGGATAGGGAAGTTGGGGATGGAAGGTGGGGCATTCCAGAGAGAACTGTTCCAGGAGCTCAGAGATGGCTTGCTATTGCTGCTATGTAAATGTTTCGTCATCAATGGAATATCTGTAGCCTCTGCATTGCCTTTGAAGCTGGTAATCTATACATATAAAAGGCTAATATGCTAAGCATCCCTCCTACCATCCAATCAATCGCTATGATGCACACTGATCACCAGGGGGCAGACACTCAAACAGGAGCTGCCTAGCTGCAGTGGCTTGGCAGCAGCAGTTCTCAGTGACACAACCCAAAACCAGAGAGAAGGGAACCTGATTCTTTACGGGGCCGTGCCATTCCACCGTGGGCCGTGGGTCATGTTGTTGTGGGGCACTGTCCTCCGGGAATCTGGTTTACTGCACACTTGCATTTGCGTTTCACACCCTGGACGACAGCAACTTTGTGGAGTGCCCTCTCGCACTCCTGACCACTCAGGGAATGTCAGAGAGCAGGTTTGGGCCTGATCCCCAAAGACCAGGCAGAAGGACCCCACCTGCCAGAGGGACCCAGCTCACTCCACAGGCACCTGGGAAGGACTGTAGGAGGTTGGCTCCAGGACATGTCTGGCCCTTGTCACCCAGTCCTGCTCTGCTGGCCACCTTCTAATTAATTTCCTTTCAATGTGCACGAATCCGTGCACCGAGTCACTAGTGTGCGGGTCTGGGCGCGGAGTCCATAAACATACATCTACCAACAATCTAACAAATCAACTTTGAGATATTTACCCAACAGTAATGGAAATCTATGTCTACAAAAGACTTAAGAATGTCCAGTCACCCCTTTATTCGTAACAGCTAATAACTGGAAAAGATCCAAATGTCAACAGGGGAATGAAAAAATAAATTGTGCTATGTCCATTTAATAGGCTACCATTCCACAGTGAACAGGAATCAATGACAGGCCTGGATCTCAAAAGCTTATGCTAGGTGAAGTTAGACAGAAAGAAAGAGTACATATGGGACAGGCAAAAGTAGGATTACAGATGTGATAGTTTATTCTTGTATTATTATGTATTAATGATTGTGTTATTTTCCATACCAAACAACCATAAACCTACTCTTGCCCACCCTATATATAAAATTTCAGAAGGGGAAAATGTAACCTTCTAGCGACAGAAAGCAGATCAGTTGTTACCTGGGCTAAGGGAGTGAGGGAATAAGGGGAGAGAGGGCAGAGACTGGGAAAGAACAGGTTTGTTAACATTCATCCATTCAGCTGTACACCTGAGATCTAAGCATTTCTCTGTACGTTCATTCTACGTATTGAATGTGTGTTGAGAGGTGGAAGAGAAGGAAGAGGAGTAGGGAGGGGAGAAAGAAAGGCAGTGGCGGTGCCTGGGGCAGGATCAAATGAATGAGCCACGGGTTCCGGAGGCGGCTAGGGCCGGGCGCTCTCCGCCCACACCGGGAGTCGGTGGGGAAGGGGAAACGGGCGGGGAGGAGGGAGCAGGCGGGGAAGACGGGAGGGGGAAGGGGAGCGAGCGGGGAAGGGGAACCGGCGGGGAGGAGGGAGCAGGCGGGGAAGGCCCGAGCGCGCGGAGGCGGAGGGATGGGAGGAGCGCGCGGCGTGCAGTTGCTCCTCTCGGCCGCCAGGGGGCGGCGTGGGCGGGAAGGGCGGCCGCGGTGACCCGGGAGCGGCGGCGAGGGGGCGGGTCCGGGCGCGGAGTCCATGTGGGCGCCGGCGCGGCGCGGTGCAGCGCGGGGTCGCCATGGCGGACGTGCAGCAGCTTCGGGTGCAGGAGGCGGTGGACACCATGGTGAAGAGTCTGGAGAGAGAGAACATCAGGAAGATGCAGGTAGCGGGCGGGAGCCGATTGGAGGGAAACCCGACATCCCCGGCCCCTTCCCCGCAGAACCAGCCGGGCGCCCCTGGGGTCGCGGTGGCGCCTCGGAAGCAGGCCTTGTCCCCGGGCAGAAACTCTAGCTCTTCGGCCGAGCGGATGAAAGTTGTGCGTCCTCGCCAGGCCCAAGGCCATTTATCAACCACCCCGACCTGCACGGGGGGTGACGGGGCCCGGGCCGGGGTTAGAGGGCCCGGGGGTGAGGTGTAGCCCCGCCACCTCCCCTCCTGCCCGGCCCCTCCCTCCTGCCGGCCCCTCAGCACGTGCGCCGCCCGCCCGAGGCTGAAACCACGGCCAAGGTGAAAGGCCGGGAGGCGGGCTGATCGGCCTCCTCCGTGGCCACGGGCCTTGGTGTAGATTTTGTTCTGCTTTGATCCCCCTGATGCCTGATGGTGTTGGTCCTGCCCCCCTGAAAGGATTGTGAGTTTCCCTTGTCATTAGTTAATGGAAGGCCTACCCCCTGGTGGCACTTACATTCCTAGGCTGCTGGCCTCTGACCTCTGGGGTATAGGCACCCGGTTTTCAGGTTTTGGCTTCATCTGACCCCCCCGCCACCTCCGTGCCCACCAGCCCTGGAGGTAGCACTTGCCACTGAGATAGAATCAAGAAGCCTATGAAACACTGCGAGGCACTGAGGATAATTTTCCCCGTTTGTGGTCTTAATGCCCTGATGGCTAGTCTAAGGAGAGGTGCACATAGTGACCCTCCCTCTAATCCCTGTTGCACCTCATTGGTTGTCTCTGGCCCTGGGGCTTTCCTACCTCACCTCTCCGCCCTTCCTTCCCAGGGCCTCATGTTCCGGTGCAGCGCGGGCTGCTGTGAGGATAGCCAGGCGTCCATGCAGCAGGTGCACCAGTGCATTGAGCGCTGCCACGCACCTCTGGCCCAAGCCCAGGCCCTGGTGACCAGCGAGCTGGAGAAGTTCCAGGTGAGCAGTATCCCAGACAGGGGACTCTTAGCAGGTGACAAGCGTTTGTTACAGAACTCTCAGCTCCAGTGTCTTGGTTCTGTTAACATTGGTGACAATGCTGTGGTCAACCAGTCTTCACAGAGTCTGAAATTTTGGACACAATACTGGAGATGGAGGGCTGTGTTTCCCATAGAAACAATGAGTTACCCAGGCAGTTCGTAACCAAGGGCCCTAAGCTTTTTCTTTTCTGTAGCTACCAAATATGTATGTGTGCTATATAGTACAAATCTTTCTAAAACATAGAATTTATTCATTCGTACAATAGCAGAATCCCCAGGAAAGTGGAATACACTTGTCTTAAAGCATACAGATTAGAGCAGTGGTTGGCAAACTCATTAGTCAACAGAGTGGCCGACCACTGGATTAGAGCAAGATCCTATCATCATTTTGTGGATTTGCATGCTCTGGGTGTGGCCCCTACTTGCTACACACAGAAGGTAGCCCCATGTCACTAAGGAGCAGTCATTTAGATGAAGCATTATTATTGTTGACTTCCTGCCTCACAAGCCCCTCTGAGGTCACTTGGAGTCCCCCAAACCCCTGTCTGGAGCAAAGGGTAGCCACAACTTCATTTTACTCCCTTCCTGAGTATATTTTTCTGGAAGTTGGGGGAAGCAGGGCCTGTTTCTATTCAGTTCTTCATAGTCTGGGATTCTGTTCACATGGGTAAATTATATCTAATGTGATACATTTTTATCTTCTGCTACATAAAATTCTTTCATGTTGCTGATAGGAATAATGTCTTCAAAAATCATGAAACTCCAGAAGATTTCTGCGTTTATTTTGACACCTAATTTTATAAACAGGGTCTTTGGCATTTTGACACCTGAATTGCTGTCTAACATGTCAGCCCTCTTCAGTCAGACTTACCCTTCTGCTGAGCCAGAACTGCTCCTGCCACTCCTGTCCACTGGGCCAAATGCAGTGGTCATTTCTCATTCCTCAGCTCACTCAGCCTGTCTGCATCATTGACACAGCGGATCACTTTGGCCCTTCTTGAAACACTTTATTCAGTTGGCTACCAGGACACTTCACTTTCCTGATTTTCTATCTCTCTCCCTAGCCATCCTTTTATGACCTCCTTTGCTGGCTTTTCCCCTTTCCAGCCTCTGAACATTGGAGAGCCCCAGGGCTGTTCTTGAACCTTTTTTCTATCTAGTTCTCTGGTCTCATGGTTACAATTATCAGCTATATGCTGACAACTACATAGCTTTAGACCAGTGGTCGGCAAACTCATGAGTCAACAGAGCGGCAAACCAAGGCTGGCGATCTGCATGTGGCTCATGAGCCGCAGTTTGCCGACCCCTGCTTTATACCAACTGCACTCCTGATCTCCAAATTCATATGTCCAACCGTTTCCTCCACATCTTCACTTACTTATTTTGTTGGTTTATCTACCCTTAGTGGAATATAAGCTCTATAATGGCAAGAACTTTATCTGATTTTATTCATTGCTATATCCCCCAATAGGAGAGTACCTGACACATAGAAGATAGTCAATAAGTTATTGTTGAGTGTTTTTCTTTAGCAAGGACAGACATTAAATAATCAAGATGTTTGTAAGTCTTGAAATGGAAAAACACTGGTACTAAAGTAATTGAGTAAGTGGTCTCTTTACTTCTCACTCTCTGGGAAAGGCTTCTGTACAATTTATTCTATCACTCACCTGCTTCCTAGTAATGCTTTGTCTGGGCCCTTCTGGTGCCACCCTCTGTTTCAATCGGGATGGTCTTGGTTAATTTCTCTATACGGTCTCTTTAATTTATCAAGATCATACATGTCAAGCCAAAACACAGCAGGTCTTCAAACAACATCATTTCTTATAACATTGATAAGAAACCAAAGGAGCTTGACCCTGTATATAAATTAGCCTGTGGTACATTTGGTATCGTTATACATCATTTTGCCACAGTTCCATGTCAACATTAAGTAAGGATTTAACTGTATGTAGCACAAGGCCTGCCACATGATAAGCACTCGGTATATAAAGGCCAACTTCTCAGCCTTCTCTGTTCTCTTCCTTCTTGTCACAGGACCGCCTGGCCCGGTGCACCATGCATTGCAACGACAAAGCCAAAGACTCAATAGATGCGGGGAGTAAAGAGAGTCAGGTGAAGCGGCAGCTGGAGAGTTGTGTGACCAAGTGTGTGGATGACCATATGAACCTCATTCCAACCATGACCAAGAAGATGAAGGAGTCTCTCGCATCCATTCAGAAATAGAAGTCTTTGCCATTGGCCATGGAGGCTGAGGGCAGGAATCTATTTAAAATGAAGAATGCGAATTTTGGTCTTTTAAGCAGTTTAAGGATGAAGAAATTGAGGATGGCGGCAAGTTTAAGGCATGTGTCACTTGCCTCTGGACACCGGTTCTTTTATGTTTTAATCCTAGAAAGTGAAATGGGGGAAGAAAAAGAAAAAAAAACCTGGTGCTAATGTTTGGGTCAGAGAGTTTTTGAGAGCCTAAATTTTATGTGGCAAATGCTCATCCTGGCAGCAGGCATTTCCCTCAAACCAAGCCAGAGCCTTCTGAGGTACAAACAAGCTGACAGGGTCCTCTAACCTGTCAGTGGTCTGGTAGAAGATGAGGGGAGGCGTTTCTGTTTGTTGCCAACCTCCTGTTTACTACAAGCATTACCACACCATTTTCCATAAGCTGTGAAACAAAATCCATGCGGTTACTAATTTAGAAGTGGAAAAACAGTTTCTGAGTATTTGGTTTGGGTTGGTTTTATATACAAGGGCATAAAGTTCATTTAAGATGGGGAGTTGGGAGAGGTAGTTTGGGTAAGAACTTAAAAGGGTTCCTTTGGATATCAGTTTCTGTCCAAGATATGAATATGCACTTTAATGCTCACACTTTACACCTTTCAGCTCAGAAACACTACAAAAACATGAGAGGCAGTGTCACACTGGGTATGAAAGCAGATCTTCCTTCTCACTGGCTACCGTGATAGGTCCTAAGCCTGTCTACGGCAGAATGACAGGACAATTTGCCATGGTACTCTACCTTGACGGGAAATAGGGTTTTGATTGTGCTGTATACCAATTCACGGAATAAACAGTGAGAGGGGAACTGTTGCTGCTTCATTAAGAGTTAGGAAGTACTGGATTTGGGGAAAACCTGGTTTTCAGGAATGAAACCTGAATCCAGTATTGCTTGCTTTGCCCCCTCAAATAACAGAGCCCTAACGAGACAATCTTTTGGCAACAGGAAGGTAAAGGAAGAAAAAAGGGGCAGCCCCCATTACTATATACCACTTTTGCCAGGCCCTTTGCAACATAAAGTGTTCCTACCCCAGCTCTGGAACCTTACTGTTTTGATAAGGAGCTTGTCTTTTTACCAACTTATTACTTGAAATGATAAAATAGCTTGTCTGTCTGCTGTTTCAAGACTGTGATATATTTTCCTAGTGGTCTGGTTTTAAAAAATAAATAAGATTTAATTTTCCTCTACTATTGTGTTTTTTTATATCTGGGCAGTGAATATATAACTTAGAATGCTTTTCCTTGTAATGTGTGAAATAAGTTTCTTTTTTTATTTATTTTTTAAATATATTTTATTGATTTTGTACAGAGAGGAAGGGAGAGAGATAGAGAGTTAGAAACATCGATGAGAGAGAGTCATCGATCAGCCGCCTCTTGCACACCCCCTACTGGGGATATGCCCGCAACCAAGGTATAATACATGCCCTTGACCGGAATCGAACCCGGGACCTTTCAGTCCCCAAGCCATTGAGCCAAACCGGTCTCGGCTGAAATAAGTTTCTTATGAGGTCCAGAAGAGAAAGTTATGTGTTAGTTTTGTATGCAGGACCTGGTCATTGTAAATGAGAAAAGTTTCAAGGGCAGATGAGGGCACTTTTACTTGAAGTCCATTAATGTATTAGTAAAAAGATAAAAGCTATGAAACTTAAATTAAAAAAAGATTCATCTGCTAGTATGTCAGGTTTCTAGTCTCAACTAAACACTAACAGCAGGAGGTAGAAAAGATATTCTTGTGACCCCTCTAGAGAATATGCAATGTCTAGGATTTTGAGTACCAATTAACTAAGTCTTTACTATCATTGGCATTTCAGTACCGGGGTGGACAAAAGTAGGTTTACAATTCATACGGAAAACACAATAAATAAATAATAAAGACTGTGTTTTGTGTACTCACAACTATAAATCTATTTTTGCCCACCCCTGTAGAGCCTTTCCTAAATATTAGGAATGAATTCAATTTTAGAGAACCAGCGATTCTTAGAATCACCAAAGCTTTTCTATTTTGATCCAAGTCTCTAATCCCTATTGTATTTTATTCCTTAATGTGTATTTCCCTATTTTGGGTAACTTAACTGAGAACAAGTCAGAGACTACTTTTTACACTTATGCTTTTGACTTGATAATCAATACCTCAGAGTGTTTGTGTGTTGTGCTTACTTTTGGCGGGACAGTCCCGATTTGTAACAATTTTTACCGCGTCCCGCGGCGTTTTAAAAAAAAGTCCCGATTTTTGGAAAGACGGATTCTTTCCAAAAATCGGGACTTTCCCGCCAAAAGCGGGACTATCTGGTCACCTTACCTTAATGCTTTATGTATGGGATCAAGGTACATTTTACATTTAAGTGGGGATTTGTAGGCAGTGTTACAAGAATAGCAAGAGACCATCCAATTGGGAATCTGCTTCCGGGCTCTGGACTGAAATTATTGAAAATTGAGGCATGTCACCCTACTCTGGTGCAGAGTTCACCAAATGCGATGTTAAACCCTAGGCTTCGCAAGACAATATGCTGTGGGAATACATTCCAAAGAATTATCAGGGGTCCGTGAATATAGAGCTTATTTTCATTTGCTATATATTAATAAGATAAACTATGCGATCCACTAAAATTAGGGGTTAATCCGTGTGGTTTAAAAGAGTCGGGACATACATCTGAATCTTACAGAAGAGAAAACGAAGTCACGGACTTCGCGAGGCCACACCCCTCTGCTTTGGCCAATCGCTGGCGACGCAACCGGAAGCTCGGGACGGATCTAGACGCTCAGGCTTCCCCCTTAATATCGCGAGGTAAAATGTGAACGTTGCCGGCCATCGATTGGCTAACGGATCGGTGACGTCAGACGCAAAACGCCGGGCCTACCGCGGGAGCGCCAGGGAGGCCGCGAATTCCGTTTGGAAGTGTCTGTGAGCTCGCTTGGACACCATGAGCAAAGCTCACCCTCCCGAGTTAAAGAAGTAAGTATCTGCGGGGGACGCGGGCGACTGGAAGCTTCTTTGTGTGCCCCTCCATTTCCCGTCAGTGCACCTGGCGTGCGCATTCGGGTACCATGCCGCCCAGGTCCCAGCAGGGTCCCACGCTGCCGGGCCTGAAACCGCGCAAAATCGCATTTTTGCTTGTTCGGCGTGGTTACCCACGCTCCTGAATTTCCCCGGTTTGACCCAATCGAAGTCCCTGCCCCATGTCTCTTCCCACGCTCTCCCTCCTTACTTGAAGATCTCGAACTCTTTGTTAACCATCCTGTACTAGATCCGGTATAGTACTCTGCTGAGATGGGATTTTCTTGTTTAAATCTTCAAAATATGAAATTATTTTGCTAAACTGTAATTATGTATTGAAGAATAAAACTTAATATTAAACGAAACACCACTTATTGTCTCAGATATAGCTATTGGATTGGATGTGGTTTGATTTTACAACTTCTAATTTCAAAATTTTGTTTGGTTTTGGAAACAACCAAAATAAAGTCTTTGTTATTCTATTACGGCTATAAAATCCAGCCATTGAAAATTAGGTCAGTCTTGAACGACGAAAATGTTTTTTGTAATTCATATCAGTATAAAGACTCAATTTAATGTACATTAATTTATTATAAACCTATCCCATCTTATTTATTACCTTGCCCCTTCCCAAAATACATTACTTTGTGTAAGTACTAAGTAGGGAAGCCCATTACCCACTCATCCTTTACAGGGTTTTTACTGTTTAAAATTTACTTATTCCTGTTGTGTAAATATAATTTTAGCAGTTATATAATCCTTATCTATTTGCTTTTTCAGATTTATGGACAAGAAGTTATCGTGTAAGTTTTCTTTTTTGTTTTTAATTATTCAGTTGCCCTTTACAAATGTCTTCTTGGCAGAATACAGTGTTTGCTCCAGAGATTCAAAGCACATAAGCCTCTGATGAATGAAGAAGCGGGTCCAGCAAAATCCTAACCAGACAGTTTTATTTGCCGACTTTTTGCAATTTAATAAATTACACAGCCCTTCAGATTTTTCAAAAGCCCTCCCTCTCTCTCACAAAATTAACAGGATTTTCTATTTTGTGATATTTGAAATTTTATCTCTTTTTTTTTTCTTTTTCTTTTTTTTTTAAACAAAGAACATAGAAAAGAACTAAAGATCTGACCTGCTATTATTTGAAGTTTGTAGGGTTTAAGATCATGGCTTTAGAGATAGGTAAGCAACTTTCAGTTTGAATCCAAGCCCTACCACATAATAGTTGTATAACCTTGAACCAGTTACTTTTAAAAAGCCTTGTACATCAGTTCCCTCGTAAAAAGTTGGGATAATTCTACAGGATTCTTGTAAGTTTAAATGTGGGAGTAAATGTAAAATGTTTAGCCCAGTGCTTAGCATAGAGTAAGGATAGTGGATTAAACATCTCATATACCTGATTGTTTTATTTTTTTAGGAGAGGGAGAGAGATAAACATCAGTGATGAGAGAATCATTCATCTGTTACCTCCTGCACAGTGGAGAGCAAACCCGAAACCAAGCACAAACCCTGACCCAGAATCACACCAGGACCTCCAGGTTCATAGGTGGACGCTCAATCACTGCGCCATATCGTCTGAGCTCCACCTAACTTTTAATGAATATTTGGTAGTTAATCGCCAGTTTTATTAAAGCTTCATTTTCCTTTTTTTATAGTGAAATTAAATGGTGGCAGACATGTCCAAGGAATATTACGGGGATTTGATCCCTTTATGAATCTTGTGATAGATGAATGTGTGGAGATGGCAACGGGTGGGCAACAGAACAATATTGGAATGGTGGTAAGTAAAGATGTGACATTTCTCTTAAGAGACTTATTTTTCATTTGGAATAAGCAGTAATTTCCCTCTATCAAAGTCTTGAACTAAACTGAAGTTTGGCAAATTATAGGCAACATTAGACTTTCCATCTTCCTTTGAGTTTAACACTTGGCAATCATTCAACTGTGATTAATATCCCAGTTACCTTTAAGTTAGATTTTCATCTTACGTGGCAAGTTAGATTTGCATTTTACATAGAACCCTCTGTGGTCCTTGGGCTTGAAATAGCTGTTGGAAGTCTTTTTTTTTTTTCTTTTCTTTTTTTTTTTTTTTTAAGCTTTATTCTATAATAGAAACCCATAGTCAGTCTTTATTAAGAGAGCAATAGGTCTGCATCTTTTTTTTTCTTTTTTAATATATTTTATTGATTTTTTACAGAGAGGAGGAGAGAGGGATAGAGAGCTAGAAACGTCGATGAGAGAGACACATCGACCAGCTGCCAATGTACATGTCCTTGACCGGAATCGAACCTGGGACTTTTCAGTCCACAGACTGATGCTCTACCACTGAGCCAAACCGGTTTCGGCTAGGTCTGCATCTTAATTGCACCTTAGAATCAAATTAGTTTGGGATGTAGCTTAGAGGGGCTTTTTTGTTTTTTAAGTTCTGCAGATGATTTGAATGTAAATGAAATTAACCACTGGTATAGAGCATTTACAATCATTTGAATTTAAAAAAAAAAAAACAACTAGATTCTACCCCAAAATAATTGAAGCTATCCCTAGTGGTGCTTTTTGTTTTGATAAAATATTAATGTGTAGTAAAGGTTAAGAACATGCTTATGGCCTGGCCTGCATGTTTCAGTGGTTGAGCATTGATCAAGGAACCAAAGATCACTGGTTGGATTCCTGGTTAGGGTACATGCCTGGGTTGCAGGCTCTATCCTCAATAGGGGGCATGCAGGAGGCACCCGATTGATAATTTTTCTCATTGGTGTTCTATCTCTTTATGCCTCTTCCTTCCTCTCTATATAGAAATAAAATATCTTTAAAAAAAAATCTACGAATTCTCAGATAATCTTGTAAAAATACAGATCCTAACTCATAAGATGGGGGCTGGAACATGAGATTTCTCATTTTTAACAAGTGGCCATTTGATGCATATCTTCCAGTCTGCAGATCACACTTTTATTTTTAATTGTGTATATAATTAACCTGGATTTCTAGTTTATCATATCCAAATTTAAAAGTAGTCAAGGTAATGCTGAAACCGGTTTGGCTCAGTGGTAGAGCATCGGTCTGCGGACTGAAAGGTCCCGGGTTCAATTCCCGCCAAGGGCATGTACTTTGGTTGCGGGCACATCCTCGGTAGGGGGTGTGCATGAAGCAACTGGTCAATGTTTCTCTCTCATCGACATTTCTAGCTCTCTATCTCTCTCCCTTCCTCTCTGTAAAATATCAATAAAATATATATATATATTTTTTTTTTTAATAAAAATAAAAAAAGTAGTCAAGGTAAGTCCTGACCAGGTAGCTAGCTCAGTTAAGAGTGTCATCCCAATATGTCAAGGTTGTGGGTTCAATTTTTGATGTTTCTCAGCAAGACCCAGACTGAATCCCTCTCTTTGCCCAGCACAGGACAATACACCCATTGAGTGATAAGTCTAAGTTTCTTAGGAAAGTTGAATCAAAAAGGACAACTTAGCTTTAGCAAATCATAGAGCGGAGAGACCTCTAGAGGTGATAAGAGTTCCTAATGGTTATACTTGATTTTTTTTCCCCTTTGCACCCCCCTAACCTGTTTTTTAGTGACTTATTCTAATATTTTTTACCATTTATTTCTAATATATTTTCAATACTGAATTTTTAAAGGTCCATCAAGGCTGGAAAAATAGCCTAGATATAAAACTTTCTCCCAAGTTTCCTATAAATCAACCTTTTCAGATACATTCTCCTTGAACTTCTATTTGACCTGATCTGAGTGTGACTTGATCTAGGTTATCTATATTAATAAAAGGGTAATATGCTAATTAGACCCTACATTCTTACAGACAAGCCGGGGCCTGGGGGCCTGGGGGCCTGCCGTTGGGGCTGGAGCAAAAGCTGGGGCCTGCAGTCAGGGGAAGGAAAGTCTACTCTTGCACAAATTTTCATACATCAGGCCTCTAGTACAAGAATAAACTGTGTTTTGCATGTTCACAACTATAAACCTACTTTTGCCAAACTCTGTATTGATAGAACCCTTACCTTGGAATTTTACTTATTTTTCTATTATTCTTGAACTCAGTTACCAGCCATTTCATCTGTGTTCTCATAAGTATCTGGCTTATCTTCATTTATGGACTGGCTATGTCAGGCACTTTGCTAGTCCTAAGGCCCTTTTCTGTGTAACTTCTCTTCTTGCCTCTAAACTCTCTCCCCATGTGGACCGTATGTAGGTTCATATAACACCAGGTCTTTTTAAGTAGGTACACAGTGTCCCTGGGTTTTATATCCACAGATTAAACCAACTATGGATTGAAAATACTGTTTTCATGGTTGGGAATCCATTGATGTGGAGCGCCAACTGTATGCTTTATTATATAAGGGACTTGAGCATTTGTTGATTTTGGTATCTACAGGGAGTCCTGGAAACAATTCCCTTCAAGGTACAATTGGGGAGTCAAAAGCTATACACAGATTTTCAACTGTGAGGGCATTCGGTCCCCTAAGTCCAGTATTGTTCAGAGATTGTCAATGCAGTTGCCAGAACTGGTCATTCCAACTGAAATTTTCACTAACACATTGTTGGTTTCTTGGTCCCCACCAAACACTTTTTTTTAACTAAAAATTGTATTTACATAGAAGCATTCAGAATGTCAACAAAACAGCTGCAACTTTTTTTGCAATTACAAACTGGTATTCAGTTAACAGAACAATTTTTATTTTGTATAAGCTGCATCAGAGACAACTGAAGATGAAAAAACTACCATCCCCATATATAACTAATTTGTGCTCTGCATCAAGAACCTGCTTTAAATTTCCATGCCAGATTACAAACCCCAAACTGCACCAGGCAAAGTTAGTGGCTATTTAAAATAGCACCAAGACAGGGCTATCTAAAGACACATTAGGAAGTGTGTTAACTATACAAAAAAAGACACTGTAAACACTGTACAATTTAAAAACAAATCTTACACAGCCTTACATTTCAATTTTTTTTCTTTAAAAGGAGTGGGTTGTGTACAGGGGGGTTAAAATGCTTTATAGACAAGGAAAGAAAACTGTTAGAACCAACTTATCCACTTCCTCCTTATTATCTTCATTCTTGCTTTTTTCAGCCTTGACAACTCCCTTTTTGGCAGCATCAGGCTTTCCTTTAACTCAGTATGCAGCAATATCCTTCTCATATTTCTCCTTCAGCTTAGCAGCCTTCTTTTCATAAGGCTGCTTGTCATCTGCAGCAGTGTTCTACATCTCTCCCAGCTTCTTTGCAACGTCACCACTGGATAGGCTGGGATGCTCTCCTTTGATTTTGGGGCAATACTCGGAACAAAACAAGAAAAAGACTGAAAGAGGCCTCTTGGGTGCATTGGGATCCTTGAATTTCTTTTTTGTTTCCCCTTTAGGGGGATATAAGTTTTCATTTCTCATAACGAGCTTTGTCCGCCCTTTGCCATGTTTTCAAATTTTCCTTTCTCCTTAGCAGACGGTCTTCCGCCTCTCTGAGCACTTCTTAGGAAACTCTGGGAAGTTGACTGAAGCATCTGGGTGCTTCTTGTGTTCCTCCCGGCAAGTTTTCACAGAGAAAGGATCTCCTTTGCCCGTGTTTAATTACTTTCCCTCCGTGACCTCACAGTCACCCAGTTAACGGCCGGCTCGCACTTGCCCCAGCACTGTCTCTGTGGAGCTCAATGTACTACAATGGCTGTCTCTAAACACTTTTAAGATTGGTGTTTGAAGCCTTCTAAGATTGGATGCAAACTATCTTTGTTTCCACTTCCCTTCATAATCTTTTACTGCCAATTAGATTCTTTCCTGATCCCCCAGATAGAGAAATTCCTGTTTTCTTATAAAAAATGTACCCAGTTTTCAAAACTCAAGTTAAAATGCCATTTCATAGAGCCTGCTTTCCACAACTTTCATTCTGGTTTGTTTCCTAATTGCTCTTCACCCAAAACTAATGTGCATGTTGTTGTTTTTTTGTTTTTGTTTTAATATATTGATTTTTTTTTACAGAGAGGAAGAGAGAGGGATTGAGAGTTAGAAACATCAATGAGAGAATCAATGATCAGCTGCCTCCTGCACACTCCCTACTGGGGATGTTCCCACAACCAAGGTACATGCCCTTGACCGGAACTGAACCCGGAACCCTCCAGTCCGCAGGCCGACGCTCTATCCACTGAGCCAAACCAGCTTTGGCAACATGCATGTTCTGTTGCACTTATTTTCCCATTAATTTATGGATCCCTTAGGGCAGTGATGGGTATGTTATTTTTCATTACTTCACTTTGAAAAGCAAGTCCATCGGGAGGTGAAATGAGTCATTGCAGACTTCTCAAAGGGGTAATTGTTAGCCTTTGATCTAGATAATGTACATCTCACTAAAAAGTGCTTATATGACTTTACGAGTGATTAAGAGACTTTATTTTGTATTCCTGTGTCTTGAAAAAAAGCCTCAACTTGACATTTAATACTGCAAAACCATTAATGATTTGGTGAAAATTCTTTAATCGTGGTATGTCTGTTAAATGACTTGTGATCTTTTCAAATTTACTTTTCTCTTAGGTAATCCGAGGAAATAGTATCATCATGTTAGAAGCCTTGGAACGAGTATGAAGAATGGCTGTAGTTACCAGAGAAATCAATTGCTTCCACATGTCCCCTCTCCACAGCACCCGTTTTCCTACAATATAGAGTCCTGTCCATTTTCACATTGAACTTTTGTTAAATAAACTTTTGTATTGATGAAAAAATGCTTTCTCAGATGTTCTGAACTTAAAAATTAGAATATTAGCTCTTTCTTATATAACTATACCTGGTTAATATTGATTTTTTTTCCAAGGGTTTTTATGCATTAATATAGGATGCCATTTTCCTATCTTTTAACATTGAATAAAGATAAAAGAATCTGCAAACTGAGTAGGTTTCTTCTGAGACATTATAATTTTCAAAATTCTTGTAGTAACTTTGATATACTCTGACTTTTCCAAGTACATCTACATTCCAAGTAGAGGACAATGGAAGTAATGATGCTGTTTATTTTGAATATAAGTGGGAAGATATTTTTAATACAAGAGCTGAAATAGAACTCAGAGAAAAATATTCCAGTGTATTGTTCTTTGTGGAGTAGAGTAGTGATAATACTGCCCATCATACATCCATCTAGTTCAAGTATTAGAGTGCACGAACTGGCGGATATATTACATATGATTGTATATATAAACATAGGTATATATTATATATAAACCTAACCTTACAAAGTCTAACAAATGCTTAGGCCTGCTCTTTGTGATTTGGTAAAAAGCCTACAAATTTTGAGTCCCTTTAAAACTGTAGAGAATGGGGTACATAAGGTATTTGGAAAACAACACAGTGGATGGCTTACATGTATCTCTGAAATGGTATTCCTACTTATAGGAAATGTGTATTGCCAAAGAACAGCTAGCGGGATCAAACCAACTTGAAAGTTGGTGTGATGTCCAACATTTTCCATTTTTATTCCAATACGTTTTAAATCTTCACTGAAGTTGATAGGTTTGACGTTTTACAACCACATAGAGCTGAATTGTAGAATGAATTATCAGTGTGTTCCTAAACCAGCAACATCGCCTTGTAACTTAGAAATGCAAATTTTTATATGCCACTACCACCTTTTGAAAAATTCTGGTGAGTCCAGTTGCATACTCAAGTTGCAGAACTATCTCATCCTGCCTCTGCATTCATTTTTTTTTACCAGTTTCTTCTGTAAAAAGATGAGTGAGCTGATATTTTTCAACCAATTAAAAAATTATTTAATGTAACAAAACTAATATGCTTGATATACAGATAATCTGTTTTGCTCTTTAAGGAAGCAATTTCCAACAGATTTCCTGTTGGAAAAAATTCTTATAAGTAAAAATATATCCCATTGCAAAATAAGTCTACAGATAATAAATTAGTATGTACCGGTGTAGCATATACATTCTACATATTGTCTTCATTAAAACAATATGGAAAAAATAACATTTTAAAAATAAAATTAGAAAAAAGCTGACCCTTTGACAAACTAATATTTTTTTAACAGTACATGTTAACTTATTGCAGTTACTGAATTCCCAAGCTTTTACTTGTTCCTTATGGGCAGTCATTCATGATCTGTTCAGTAGTTGTAGAACTGGTTCTCAAATTTGGCTGCATATTAGAATCCCTTGGGAAGTTTTAAAGTCTACAGGTGATTTCAAAGTGCAGTCAAGGTTGAGACAACTATCTTGAGATTTCAGCAACCAGTTTCTCAAAATGGTACAGTAGCTTAAGTTAGAACATATGCTGGACTATATCAAATGTGTCATTCTGAATGTCCTACTCAAGTCAATTGCTCTAGAATAATTTTGGTTGCCTTTGCTGTTAACTATCAATGCTTTCTTGTTGAGAACCCATTCTTCGAAAAATGAATCTGCTTTGATTATGGATTGAATTTCTTGTGACTTAAGGCACCACATACCCTTTGGAGACATTTCAGTTGCCCAATTCAGTGATTCTCAACACAGGCTGCACATTAGGAATTTTAAAAAGCTACAATGGTGAGGTCTTAGCCTCAATCTATTAAATTAGAATCTCTAATTAAGAGTGGGGAATCTATCTATATATTTTAAAGTTCCATATGTGTGCCCTGGCCTGTATGGCTCAGTTCATTGAGTGTTGTCCATGCACCAAAAGGTCACTGCTTTGATTCCTGATCAGGACACACATGTCTCAGTTGAGTCCAATCCTTAGTAGGGGGCATGCTGGAGGCAGCCAATCAGTGATTCTCTCATCACTGATGTTTCTATTTTTCTCTCCCTCAAATCAATAAAAAAATAAATATATAAAAGCTCCCTATGTGAGGTTTTGATAATAGAATGCCAATTTCTTCACATCAATAGCCTATATTTGCTTTTCATTTTACTGGATTTTTTGTATGACATCTTAAAGTTATACTACTCAGACTTCTGAATTTCATTCCTAGAAAAAGGCAGAAGCAATCAAAAGAGCGTCATTCTAAAAGTCAAGGCTTAAGTAATGGGAACATTTACTTTGAAAATGGTATAAATTACTAAAGCCAGGCATAAGACACCAGCTCCTATAGCAGATTTCACTGTGACTAAAGATCACAACCAGCTGTAAGCACAAATGAATTAGTCCCCAACTAAAAGGTATGTCTTTAAGTACTTCCTCAAGTGTTCAGCTTAAAATGCTCTAAAGTTTATTCAAAATCCAAGGCCTCACCTCTAGACCTATGGAATCAGACTCTCCGAGGAACTACGGAATTCCACATGTTTGACAAATTCTTATGATCAGAAACGTTTGGAAAACACTGTTGATGGACCTTAAAAGAGTTACAAAATTTTGGAGCAGGCTCTCTGGAGCACGCACTTGCCTTTTTCCCCCCTCTCAGGCATGCATCTTTACTTTTCTCTCCTAAACTCTAAGGGTCCCCACAAGACTTGCAACCAGGGAAGCAATGGGCAGCAGCAGTTCATCCAGGACTAACACCATGAACCCGTCTCCAAGGCCCCTTCTCTCTTTTCAGGGAGCTAATAGCAGCTCTGCCTTGGCTCACTTCTATAACGTTTATAGGGAACCAAAGCAGAGTAGCACCTAGGCTCTCTCCTTTCGCTTCTTCTACCCTAAGTCCTTTGTTTCACAGTCCCCAGCTTTAATAAATGTACTCTGAAAGTTACACACACACATTTTGGAGATGGCATAAATACAATAGTTACACCTTCACACTTAGACCTTTGTATTTTCCCATGACTCCACTGGGATTACGCTTGTTAAACAATGATAATGGCAAAAGATCTGATTCAAAATCATCTCTGCTCAGATTGTGTTCTTTTTTTGCCAGTGATATTCCATGTGGAACCAGGAGGGGGGTGGGGAATGAAAGTATTAACTCATAGTTCAGTTTTCAGTTTCTCATACAAATCCTCTTGGTCAATCATATCTGTGTGCCCGTTCCAGCGATGATAGGCGAGGAGAGCGGCATTGTGGGCTGCAATGGCACTCATTTCCATGGCACTTGCTGCACACTCCATGGCATTGAGGTAATAGAGTCGATCATGGAGTATGATGGAGGAGCATTTCTCTGGAGGCTTATAGTGAGGATATGCATGCCAGTGCTGCTTCACAGCATATTCATAGGACAAAAAGAGCTTTAAAAGTTGCTCCTTAGTAAGAGTTTCCGGGGAAAAGGCCTTCCAAACAAAAGCTCCATCTGTTGATGGTTGAGCATTATTATTTTCTCTTACAGAGGACACAATTCCAATGCTATTGATAAACAAGTGTGAATTGTCAGTGGTTAAGATTGTACTGAGACCAAGTTCATCTAAAGCTCTGGAGTTAAAAGAAGATGAATTCAACTTTCCCTTAATAAAAGTTGCCACTATTTGTTGGTAGTGTTGATGGAATTCCTCAATTGGAGGATCAAAGTTGAGAAAAGTTATATTGGACATTTTTCGATTCAATGGAGTGGCCACCAAGACGATGTCATAAAAGTCTGAACGGGTCTCAGATCCAGTTTGGTAGACCACTTGATACATTTTTGTGGGGTTTCCTAGAAGAAATAAGCATACATTTCTTTAGTGTTTCTAACATACTATGTTTTATGCCTACTAAAAATAATTCTATATCTTCTTAATTGTTTATAATCCTAAGGAATTAAAAACTTTATCCAGCCCTAGCTGATTTGGCTCAGTGGATAGAGTGTCAGCCTTCATACTGAAAGGTTCGAGTCCAGTCAAGGACTTATGCCCAGGTTGTGGGCCTGATCTCCAGTGGGAGGCGTGCAGGAGGCAGCCGATCGATTATTCTCTCTCATCATTGATGTTTCTATTTCTCTCTCCATTACTCTCTGAAATCAATAAAAATATTTTTTTTTTTAAACTTGATCCAGCCGAAACCGGTTTGGCTCAATGGATAGGCACATGTGTCAAACACAAGGCCCGCGGGCCAAATCCGTCCAGCCAGGCCTTGCAATGTGGCCCGCACCTCGCTGTCATCACTGCACTCCGCTGCGTTTCCATCACAATGACAGTTTATGACTGTTCAGTAAACCATTCAGCCCGTGATTTAGGCTGGATTTTAGATTTTGGCCCCTTCTCTGATTGAGTTCGACACCCCTAGGATAGAGCGTCAACTTGGGGACTGAGAGATCCCGGGTTCGATTCCGGTCAAGGGCATGTACCTTGGTTGTGGGCATATCCCCGGTAGGGGCTGTGCAAGAGGCAGCTGATTGATGACTCTCTCTCATCGATGTTTCTAGCTCTCTAGCTCTCTCCCTTCCTCTCTGTACAAAATCAATAAAAATATATTTTAAAAAAAAGAAAAAAAAAAAAACTTGATCCAATGAACTCATAAATAAGTGAACAACAATTTGATGTTTCTATCACTCTCTCAAAAAAAAAAAAAAAAAAAAAGACTTTTACCTATTAGGATAACTGTCCCAAACTGAGGCCAATTTCCTACTCAGAATAAAAATAATACAAGTACAAAATAAGAAAATTTTACTTTTGAGAATGGAATTTTTTAAATCCAAGGAATCATGCCACTATACTCAAGTACATTTAGGAGTATTTCCACATGGCACAACACATACAATTTAAAATTCCATCATTTGGAACTGAGTGAGAAATGAAGGAAGGGAGGTTTTTCTCCCTGAGCAATTGTTTTCTACAGGGGAAATCAGGAACAATAAAATAGAAATGCAAGCTCACCTGTCTGCTTGGTTCTTGTTTTCTCTATGTACATGACTGAGCCAGATATAAGGTTGCTTTTGGAAGCCTGAAGGAGCCTTGAACAAACAAGTTTATTGCCACCTTCTATTGCCCAAAGGCCAGAATCAGCACCAGCTAGGGACACTGCCCCTGTCAGCATTAGGAAAAAACGTGATTTAATTCTAACTCTGTAAGGAGCCTCCACCCACTCTCCCTTCCCAATTAGGTGAGTTCTGCTCCCAATGTCTCCACACATTGCCAAATGGCCCCTAGGGGCAAAGTCTCCTCCAGGTGAAAACCATTCCACTAATGAAAACTAAGGACACTCTCCCCATAAAAAATGCATATCTACATTTACACAATTTTCGCCAACAACGCCTGAGGTTTCACAGAGAAAGGTATCTTCTCCAACTCATGGCTCAGGTCAGAAGTAACCATAACATCTGGTATGCCCCTGGTGAACCAATTCTATAACCTTTCCAAGCACTGGCTTACCTACAAAGCCATTGATGTCCATGCTTTGGCCATAATTGACCCTATTGATGGGAGCAATCATTTCATCAAGGAATTTCTCAGAGAAACCTGCTTTCTGTAAGGTTTCGAGAAATGTCCGGTTAAGCATTCCAAGGAAGTCGTCCCCTCCTAGAGAATGCAGTAAGTTTTCTACACTACTGAAGGCATAGTCATGAGACTGGTAGCGGTAGATCCTTTTAAAAAAGAGAGAGAAATGACCATTACACATCAAACAAAATAGGGGCAAAAGGGTGCATAAGTAAAGGAAATAGCATCATAAGAATCACTGACTTTCATGTTTCTCTTTGATGGGATCCTACTTATCACTCCACATCATCAGCAGGTGCGAGTGGGGCGGGCTCAGTCAGCACATGGGAGAGGCAGTGGGAGCCCGGCAGAAAGGGGACCAGGGGCCACAGTGGGAGTGGCCAGGCGGGGGTGCAGAGGATGGGCCAAGACCCACACCTGTGCCCACTGCAGCCTTGCAGCCTACAGTTCCTTTTAAGGTACATAAATTTGTGCACTGGGCCCCTAGTGCTCTACATATTACTCCCTAATATTGTACTACCTCTTCCCTCCAACTGGAATACAGTTCCCATTCCTAAACAGAGAACAGCTACGCTTCCTTCAGAGCTTGAATCACACCTCCTCTGCCAAGTGTTGCCCAACCTCTCAGTCCACAGTGATGTCATCTCCACAAATCCCATAAAACTTAGCACCTATAAGGGTAGCCAAAGGAGGTACACACAAGGCCAAAAGTGGTAAGGAATTATAAATTTATTAGGTCATCTGGAAAACTAGATGGGCTGAGCCCCAAAATGACACCAGCACCCAAGGATGGGAAGTCAGAGGTTTTAAAGGACTCTAGGCGGGCTTTTTCGGCAGGGAACTATCTGGATGGGTCTGGATCCTGGGAAAGATAATGGTCTTAGCAAGTGAAATGTGACCTAAGTGAAAGGGAAGGTTGGTTGTGAAGTGATCTAAAGGTCAGTTCCTAGGCCCTAACCGGTTTGGCTCAGTGGGTAGAGCATCAGCCTGCAGACTGAAAGGTCCCAGGTTCAATTCTGGCCAAGGACATGTACCTTAGTTGCGGGCACATCCCCAATAGGTTTGCAGGAGGCAGCTGGTTGATGTTTCTAACTCTCTATCCCTATCCCTTCCTCTCCATAAAAAATCAATAAAATGCTTTTTTTTAAAAAATTAAAAAAGAATATAAAGGTCAGTTCCCAAGGGAGGGAGTATCTAATGATTTAATTTTCAGAAAATATCACCTGACATATCTCTGTATTTTATGGACTTAAAAGAATGTCCACATAAATTAGTTCATGCAGTAATTCAATACATAATTTTTCAGATTCCAAGTGTTACAAAAATGAGAAAGACATGGTTCCTTTCCTTCAAGAAGCTTATAGTTAGGAACAGGTAATAAGGAACAGGCACAAATATATAAAAAAAGGAAAAAATAAGTGCCAAAGAAATACATTTATCAATGATCAAGGGAAGAGTTTTACATCAACTATCTTCTCCAAAATAAACTGTAAATTTTTAGAGAGTAGGGGACAATATCATATCCATTTTATTTTTATTTTTATTAATATATTTTATTGATTTTTTACAGAGAGGAAGGGAGAGGGATAGAGAATTAGAAACATCGATCAGCTGCCTCCTGCACACCTCCCACAGGGGATGTGCCTGCAACCAATGTACATGCCCTTGACTGGAATCAAACCTGGGACCTTTCAGTCCACAGGCTGACGCTCTATCCTAGGGGTGTCGAACTCAATCAGAGAAGGGGCCAAAATCTAAAATCCAGCCTAAATCGCGGGCCGAATGGTTTACTGAACAGTCATAAACTGTCATTGTGATGGAAACACAGCGGAGTGCAGTGATGACAGCGCGGTGCGGGCCACATTGCAAGGCCTGGCGGGACGGATTTGGCCCGCGGGCCTTGTGTTTGACACATGTGCTCTATCCACTGAGCCAAACCAGTTAGGGCTCATTTTAATATTACCTACTGTCTACCAGTGAACTGTACAAAATGTTGAATAAGCCGAAACCGGTTTGGCTCAATGGATAGAGCGTCGGCTTGGGGACTGAAAGGTCCCGGTTTGATTCCGGTCAAGGGCATGTACCTTGGTTGCAGGCACATCCCCGGTAGGGGGTGTGCAAGAGGCAGCTGGTTGATGTTTCTCTCTCATCGACATTTCTAGTTCTCTATCCCTCTCCCTTCCTCTATGTAAAAAATCAATAAAATATATTTAAAAAAAAAAAAAAAAAAAAAGGTTGCCAGTTCAATTCCAAGTCAGGGAATCAACCAATGAATAATACATAAATGAACTGAACAACAATGCGATGTTTCTTTCTCTCTCTATCTACCTATCTTCTCTCTCTTTCAAATTAATAATTTTTTTTTTTAATTTTTAATCAACTAATGAGCCCTAGCTGGTTTGGCTCAGTGGACAGAGCGTAGGCCTGCAGACTGAAGGGTCCCAAGTTTGATTCCGGTCAAGGACACATGCCTGGGTTGCTGGCTCGATCCCAGTGGGGGGCAGCCAATCAATGATTCTCTCTCATCATTGATGTTTCTATCTCTCTCTCCCTCTCCCTTTCTCTCTAAAATCAATAATGTATATTTTTTTAAATCAACTAATGAATGCATGAATGGATGGAGCAACACCCTTCCTCTCTTGTCTCTAAAATCAATAAATTTTAAAAAGGAACAAATTATACATACAGATCTCTGTCTCTTTCCCTTTCTCCCTCTCTCTCTCAAATCAATCAATAAATAAAAATTTATTTAAAGTAAACCAGCATAAAAATTAGCTCATGCCTACAGCCTTAAAAGAAATAGGTTGCATTTTTCAAAATTGCACTCGTTATCTTATGTTATTTTTCCCAATTATCAAAGCAATGTGCGTTCATACACACAGATGACTTTGAAAATACAGAACAACATAAAAAAATAAAATAAAGAAAAAAAAAGAGGCACTCCCAGAACAGTGCTGAAATTTATTAACAATTTAAATTCTTAGGGCACAGAACTGATACCCTACCTCAGGTTGCTGGCTCACTAAAACGTCATGTCACAATTAAAGCCCACTTTTCTGATCCTTTCTACAAGCTCTTATACACATGACCTCACCCATCTGATCCATAACACCAGCACAGTGAAGTGACTAAGAGTGAGGACTGGAGTCAGCCTGCTTGGGTAGAATCTCTGGGTAGAATCTACCACTAATAGGTGGGTATACTTGCACACTTGAAACTCCACCTTCCATATCTGTAAAAAGAAGCTAATAAATAGTACCTTCCTAGAGAGCTGTTGTGAGAATTCAAGTTAACATTTGTAGAGCTTTTAAGAGTGTCTAGCAATACTAAACAAGCATTTGCAAAATACATTTTCAGAAGCAAAAATAAGCTACCCTTTTAATTTCCAAGTGGGTAAATGGTCTGCGCATTTTAGACAAAACTTTTTGCCTGCCTTGGCCAGCTTGGCTCAGTGGATAGAGCAATAGCCTGTGGACTGCAGGGTCCTAGGTTCGATTCCGGCCAAGGGCTCATGCCTGGGTTGCAGGTTTGATCCCCAGTCGGGGGCTTGCAGAAAGCAGCCAATCAATGATCCTCTCTCATCACTGATGTTTCTAACTCTCTTTCTCCTTTCCTCTCTGAAATCAATAAAGAAATATGTTTTTTTAAAAAACAAAACTTTTTGCCTAACAAAGAAGCCTTCCAGTTAGGTAGAGAACTGTTCCAAGAAACCATAATTCCTACTGATCATCTAACCAAAAGGTCTTAGGGTTAAATGGAAGGGGAAAATATTACCTCATAAACTTGTCTAATACATCCTCTACCCACATGTGCATTCGAAGGGGCTGAAATCCATACTGCCAGATTAGTTTAATTATGTTAATTATAAACCAGCTGCTCTCCTCAAACACCAGAGTATCTCCGTTAGAGACCCCTATTAGGCCACCAGAGCTCTGAAGAGTAGAGAGACCTGCAAAAACAGAAAGGGTAGCCAAGTCAGTAGTTTCGATGCTGATCAAAGGAAAGGTTAATCTGAACTTATCGGGGACACTCTGAAATGAATTCCGGGCTTCCCCTTGTTCCCAGGAGATATATCAAAGGAGCACTATCTTTAGAATAAGTGATATGATACGCTCACTACACTGTCCAAACGCAAACTCTCTTAAAGAGGAGGTCATGCAGATATATCAAAATTAGGCTGGCTATTTTTAGTCTGAAGAGACTAAAAAGTCAAAGAAAAAAGCCAGAGTATCAACTAAATTCAACTTAAAAACAGAACTGCCAGACTCGAATCTTTGCAGCATAAGTTGCTCCTGGCATACATCTGCCCTCGTGGAGAAAAAGAGGCTCCGGAAGCATCCACAGAGATGGGGAAGGTAGCTAAGGGAAAGGAGGTTTGCTAGTCTTGTGCAAACACCACTTTGCATAACTGGGTATTTCAGACAACTGGGAGGAGGCCAATATTACCCAATATTCTTTGAGAAAGGAGCCTGCAGAGGCTTGCCAGATTTCCCTCACAACCTGTCCAGCTTCTACGCTGGTAGGGGAGTAGTCAAATTTCTGGTTTCTAAGCACATGTCTGCACCCATAGCTGTGAGTGACTTGAAGCCGGACACAAGCCTCTGAGTCTCATTTCCCCCTGCTGTAAAATGAGCTCACTGGGTTTCTGCTAACTCAAACCATTCTCTGATTCAACAGAAACCCACAGGTTGAAGAAATGACAACAGCAACCATCCCCATTACCCCCCCACACACACACACCATGGCTGTAATTCCAGATAACTTAAGATACTGAGAACTAGTGTCCCCTTACAGGAGAGTGCCTCCTAACCAAGGCAGTACCAACTGCTAGAAGGAAAGTGAGGCAACAGTTTCACCAGCTTGTCTGTAAAAGACAACAAGCAAAGTGGAAAAGTTTCAGTTCCCCATCGGACAGAAATATCCGTGGATGGTCACACAGAAAGCTGCGCGGCTCTGAGAGCCAACTACGTACCCAGGTCCTTGACAAAACGCTTCATGTGCAGATTTAAAGGGTGGATGACAGAGCCTCCAGCTTCATACTCTTGCCCCTGTAAGGTAATGGTGGCCAGGCGGCCCCCCACCTCGCCTCTTTCAAACAGGTCAATCTTCACATCTTTCCCAAATTTCTGCCGCAGGTAGTAGGCTGCCGAAGTGCCACCAATTCCAGCTCCAATTATGGCTATGGAGGGGGGAAAGGAACTTTATTTCACTCTTACCAGCTTTGTGGGTTTTGTTGTTTTTGAAAGACCATGAAGCAAGAACAGAGGTTACTTAAGGCTATTCTGAACAATTTAGGGAAGCCTGTAGATAGGGGAAGGCCAGAAAGAGTTGCAGTGAAGATATTATAGTATTCTGAATCTGGACACAAACACTGAACCTCCCACAAAAGGGGCAGTAAGTGAACTTGCAAACTGACATTAACTCGCCAGATGTCCCCAAAGATCCTAACAGTTCTTTGTGGAGCTATCCATGGGCCTGCACCACCTTTTTCTTTTCTTTTCTTTTTGCCCAACTCATGGCAGCAGAGGAGATGGGTCTGTCCAGCATACATTCTCAACAAAGTGGCCGCCATTTTTTTGCCTCGATTTGTTGTTTCATTCGTGTAGGCAGGGCAACGACCCCGGCCAAAGAGCCGTTTTAAAGGGACTAAGAAACAAAGCAAAGCAAAAACGGACAGGAAGCAAACACACAAAAACGACTGAAAGCAAGAGAGAGTGGATCATTTCAGCTGTGTAGTAATCCCAGGCAGGGACATTGTGCAAGCCAGGGGGGCCCTGAGAGCAGCAGGCCTGCTGCAGCAAAGCTTCAAGCAGAGGGAAGGGCCGCGGCCGGGGTCAGCGCGTTTTCCCCGCTCCATGTGCTGCGCCGGCGGCGTGCGCCTGTCACCTGCAGGGCGCCCGCGGCCTGTGGCTCCAGGACCAACCAGAAGGCCGGCCTCCGCAAGGGGCAGCAGGGGAGGGGGCGAGAGGGCGCACGGTCTCCCCCTCCCACCGCCAGGCTCCCGAGACCTGGGCTGCAGCAGGGACGCCCGGAAGGTGCCTGCCCGCCCCCTAGGGTCCCCCTTCCACGGCCCGTTCCTCCTCCAGTGGGCACACCCCCACGCCCGCCGCGCTCCGGGGCCCCGAAAACGACCCGGAGACCGCGAACCGGCAAGATCACCGGCGCGGAGGGCTCAGCCCGCGCGTCCCGGTCAGTGCGGGGCCTGGCGCCCCGGGCAGCGGCCGCCCGGCGCGGGGCGGTCCCGCACCGCCTCCCGCGCCGCCCCGCGCTCGCCTACCGATCCTGTCCGGCGGGGCCCGCAGCCCGGCGCCCCCGGGGCACGCCCAGCTGCACAGCAGCAGCCCCAGCCCCAGGAGCGAAGGGGTGAGCTCCCCCGCGGCGCGGCCCATGTCTCCCCGATCGCTGCCCTCGGGAGCCCCAGAGCGCCACTCTGAGCTCCGGCCCGCGGCTGCGCGGCGGCGAGCTCCGCGCCCCGCCCCCGGGCCCGCCCCCTCTCCCCTCTCCTCCCCGCACCCCACCTCACCCCTATCCCCTTAGCCAGCTCCCTGACACCTCTCAGTTCCACCCATCCCTTCCAGGGACTCCAAAAAGTCTACCCACCCTACTTCAAGGAGACACCAAAGGCACCCAGCTCCCCCAGCTCCCCTTCCTTCCCATCTGTTTGGACAAAACACCTTATTTCTTCACTCAGATCCTCCTCTGTACCTTTAACCACTCTCTCTCAAACACCGCTAATCCCTGTCTAAAACAGACCAGGGGAGTTCCAAATACTTTTTTTTTTTTTTTAAGATATTTTATTTATTTATTTTTACAGAGGGGAAGGGAGAGGGATAGAGAGCCAGAAACATGGATGGGAGAGAAACATAGACCAGCTGCCTCCTACACACACCCCCACCGGGGATGTGCCCGCAACCAAGGTACATGCCCTTGACTGGAATCAAACCTGGGACCTTTCAGTCCGCAGACCGACGCTCTATCCACTGAGCCAAACTGGTTTTGTCTCCAAATACTTATTGGTCACTAGGTCCCGGGGATTGTTAGGTAACAGATGAATGGGTAAATGATGTTAATTGAAAGGGACAATGAGGGCGACCTAGCATGGGCTCCAAGGTGAAGGAAGGGAAGAATAGTGTACCCAAATATAGGGTGGAACATTATATGCAAAGCTTTAAGAAGAATGACCTGTAGCTATGGTCCTGTATTGTTAGGTGAGAAAACTGGTGGCTGAGTGAAGGGTACTATACGATCCCATTTCCGTAATTAAAATACCCCACCCATCCAGACACCCAAAAAGGAAATAAAAATCAGTATATGAATATGAGGAACAGTATAGGGGGAGGGAAAATAAGTTGAGTAAAAGAAAGGTTGAAGCTTTTTCATAATAGGATTGCCACCAGAACACAGGTGTGATGAAAACCATTCCTACATCAAAGCCAAAATGGGAAAGGAAAAGACTCATTTCAACTTTGTCATGAGGGAACAGGTCGATTCTGGTAAGCCTATCACTACTGGCCATTCTGATCTATAAATGTGGTGGGAATGACAAAAGAACTATTGAACATTTTTGAGAAGGAGGCTGCTGAGATAGAAAAGGGCTCCTTCGCCGGGACCGGTTTGGCTCAGTGGATAGAGCATCGGCCTGCGGACTTAAAGGTCCCGGGTTCGATTCCGGTCAAGGGCATGTACCTTGGTTGCGGGCACATCCCCAGTGGGGGGTGTGCAAGAGGCAGCTGGTCAATGTTTCTCTCTCATCGACGTTTCTAACTCTCTGTCCCTCTCAATTCCTCTCTGTGTAAAATCAATAAAATATATTTAAAAAAAAAAAAAAAAAAGGGCTCCTTCAAGTATGCCTGGGTCTTGGTTAAATGAAAACTAAACATGGGCATGGTATCACCGTTGGTATCTCCCTGTGGAAATTTGAGACCAGCAAGTATTATGTGACCAGGACACAGAGACTTTATCAAAAACATGATTATAAGCACATCTCAGGTTGACTGTGCTGCTATTGGTGTTGGTGAGTTTAAAGCAGGTATCTCCAAGAATAGGCAGATCGGGGAGCGCGCCTTTCTGGTTCACACACTGGGTACGAAACCACTGATGGTTGCTGTTAGCAAAATGGACTCCACTGAGCTGCCCTACAGCCTGAAAGATGTGAGGAAATTGTTAAAGAAGTCAGGATCTACATTAAGAAAATTGGCTACAACGCTGACACAGTAGCATTTGTGCCAATTTCTAGTTGGAATGTTGACAACATGCTGGAGCCAAGTGCTAATTTGCCTTGGTTGAAGGGATGAAAAGTCACCCGTAAAGATAGCAATGTCAGTGGAACCACAATGCTTGAAGCTGTGGATTGCATCCTATCACCAGCTCATCCAACTGACAAGCCCCTGTGTATGCCACCTTAGGATGTCTTTAAAACTGGTAGTATTGGTACTGTCTTGTGGGTCTATTGGAGAATGATGTTCTTAGATCCAGCATAGTGACCATCTTTGCTCCACTCAGTGTTACACTGAAATAAAGTCTGTTGAAATGCATCATGAAACTTTTAATGAAGCTCTTCCTGGGGACAATGTGGGCTTCAATGTCAAGAACATGTCTATCAAATGTGGCACTCACCATTGGAAGCCTCTGGCTGCTCAGTTCGTGTGATTATCCTGAACCATCCAGACCTGATTAGTGTTGGATATGCACCTGTGCTGGATTGTCACAGCTCACATTGCTTGCAAATTTGCTGAGTCAAAAGAGGTCGACTGTCATTCTGGAAAAAAAGCTGGAATATGGCCCATTGTTTTTTAAATCTGGTGATGCTGCCATCATCGATATGGTTCCTAGCAAGCCCAGAGAGCTTCTCTGACTATCCTCCTCTGGGCCGTTTTGCTATAGGTGTCATCAAAGCTGTAGATGAGAAGGCAGCTGGAAGTGGCAAAGACAGCAAGCCTCCCCAGAAAGCTCAGAAGGCTAAATGAATATTATCTTTAATATCCGCCACCCCAGTCTTAGTGGTGGAAGAGCGGTCTCAGAACAGTTTATCTCAATTGGCCATTTAAGTGTAATACAGTAGTAAAAGACTGGTTAATGATTACAATGCATCCTAAACCCTTCAGAAGGAAAGAATGTTTTGTGAATCATTTGGAGTGTGTGAGGGGGAGCAGTTTTTAAATTATTAGTTTTTTTTAATTTGTACTTTTTAATGGAAACAACTTGACTAAAAATCTGTTGCAGATTTTTTTTTATTTTTTTTTTGAGAGAGAGAAACATCAGTGTGAGAGTGAAACATCTGATTGGCCACCTCCTGCTGCATGCCCCTACTAGGGATGGAGTCCACAATTGGAGTACATACCTTGCCCAGGAAACCAACAGGCAAACTTTCTGTGCACAGGATGATGGTCAACCAACTGAGCCAGCACATGGGCCAGGGCTGTCACAGAATTTTGAGATCCATTAAAACAATGAGAAACGTGTGTGTGTGTGTGTGTGTGTGTGTGTGTGTGTGTTTAATTTATTGATTTGAGAGTGAGAGAGAAAGGGAGGGAGAAAAACATTGATTTGTTTCCCACTTATGTATGCATTCATTGGTTGATCAAACCCACAATGTTGAAACTGGGTGGTTTTTGGTCAACACTAACTTTCTATGTACTACTTAAGTAAAAGACTTAAGAGTTGCCCATAACCTATGTTTGATGTTATATCTGCTGATACTTTAGAACTAGATAATTCAGTTGTTGTTGTTTTCGGGGTGGGAACTTTGCTTTTTTCCATTTTGTCTTAAGGGGTGGAATCTGGTTACATAGCAAAAGCTATAAAAAGGTTCTATTGGTACAACACTAAATAAGGTTAGGACAAATAAGCCAAGAATAACTAGTTTATAAAGGTAAAATTCTGTTATGTTCAAGTTCATAGGTTGCATATAAAATGTTGTAGCTACATCAATATTAAATAAATTTGTTGGTATGTCAAATTTTAGTTGAATGTGAATTCATATTTACAAATACTGAGGTAGTTTAAAGAACCTAAAATGAGGTTTAAATAGTATTGAGCATTGTCTTGCTATAATTCATTGTATCCGGATTCTAAGGAAAATCAATTATACTGAAAAGAAAAGTTGAACTTAGAGAAAAGGAAGTAGAAAATTCAGTGCAGCCAAAACCAGTTTGGCTCAATGGATAGAGCGTTGGCTTGGGGACTGAAAGGTCCCGGGTTTGATTCCGGTCAAGGGCATGTACCTTGGTTGCAGGCATATCCCCAGTAGGGGGTGTGCAAGAGGCAGCTGATCGATGACTCTCTCTCATCGATGTTTCTAACTCTCTCTCTCTCCCTTACTCTCTGTACAAAATCAATAAAATATATTAAAAAAAAAAAAAAAAGAAAGAAAATTAAGTGCAAAAAAAAAAAAAAACACCCACATTTATTTACTGGACAAATATTTACTGAGTTCCTTCTAAGTGACAGGAAATACTCTAGGTCAGCGTTTTTCAACCGTGCCGCGAGATGTTGCCTGGTGTGCCGTAGGTGCAGACAAGACAAGAATTTTATAATTTTTCACTATTTTGTTTACTTAATATTTCATAATAAAGTAATTATAAAATACTTTCTTTGTGTTTATTTGATTCCTATTCAAGAGAATTACTTTATATATAGTCAATATAGGCACAGAGTTAAATTTTTTAACATTTTCTAATGGTGGTGTGCCTCGTGATTTTTTTCATGAAACAAGTGTGCCTTTGCCCAAAAAAGGTTGAAAAACACTGCTCTAGGTGAATGAGAAAAATCAGTGAATAAAACCAATTTTTAAAAATATTTATTCTAATGAAGCTGACATTCTAGTGAGGGGAGACAGATGGTAATTAAAATATGTAAGTAAATTATGTAATATATAGAATGGGGTATGAGAAATGGGAATGAGTTGCAATTGTAAATATGATGGCAGGGTAGTAGGCCTTATTAAGTTGGATGCCATTTGAGCAAAGCTTGGAGCAAGTGAGGGGAGTAGACCAGGCAAATATCTGGGGAAAGAACTTCCCAGGCAAGAAGAACTTCTGGTGTGTTTAAGGAACAGCAAGGAGGCCAGTGGAGCAGAGTAAGGAAGAGAAAGTGGAAGTGTTAACGAATAAAATGCAAGTCATACAAGAAAGAAACACTTATGCCGAAACCGATTTTGTTCAGTGGATAGAGCATTGGCCTGCAGACTGAAGGGTCCCAGGTTCGATTCCGGTCAAGGGCATATGCCTTCGTTGTGGGCACATCCAGTGTGCAGAAGGTGGCTGATTGATGTCTCTCTCTCATCAATGTTTTTAACTTTCTATCCCTCTACCTTCTTCTCTGTAAAAAATCAATAAAAGATATTTTAAAAAATAAAAGAAGAAAGAAACACTTCTACTTACTAGTAAGAACATGAAAATACAAAGATTAAGCCCTCTTTTTAAAATTTCTTTATTGATTAAGATATTATATATGTGTCCTTATCCCCCCATTGTCCCTCCACCCCCCTCTTTTGCACTACATCTAGAAATTACAAAGAAAGAACTATACTATGTGTCTTTTACTTTCCTATTTTCAAATTACATTATGCCCACAATATGTCAGTGCATTAAGCCTGACTAGGCCCTCAATTTCTGTTGGTTGATTGGAATTGGCATTTAAATCACCTTAACAAGTATCATATTTAGGAAATTTCATTTCTGCTACTGAAACCTTGGAAAGGAATTTACTGAAAGGACACAGTGAAGAGATAGTGTAAAAGACTTGCAAAGTGGGAGAAGTGGGAGGTGGATTACAGGCTGTCTTATTCTGCACTCTTGGCCTTTTAAAATAATACTGCTACTGAATGAAATTCAAAAAGATTTTTTTAAATATTTATTTTTATTGTTTAAAATATTACATATGTCTCCTTTTAAAAAGTTTCTTTTTAATCATGGGGGGAAATGTTACCTCATATATAATGGGTAGTAATAAGGTAATATAACAAACATTTATTCAAGAGTGTTGCTTAAAAAAGCAGTCTCTCTAGGAAGCAAAACACTAAGATTCTCTCCTTCAGCAAACTCTAGCCCAGCTTCTCTCCGAGGCCTCCTCTTGATTAGGCCTCAACTTTGGCCTATAAAGATGAAAAAACAACTGACAGTTTCTAACAGCTCAAAGCAGCCTCCTTGCAATAGCCTTAGCACCCCTAACAGTGCCTGTCTGAGAAAACTCAAGGTTCCCCAAATTATTGACTGCTTGTCCCACCCAACACATGAAGATAGTGCCCTGTGTCACAATCCCCAATACCCCAAACCCCCATCCCGTCTTGATTTTTGTGATCTTTTACTTCCCTGACTTTACTGGCCCCTGCTCACCCCCCCTCCCTATTTCTTCATTCTCCCTTGAAAGGTCCCAGTCACTTCTGTGCAAACCAAAGTTCAGTTCACACTGCACTCTTTTCCCCGTTGTCATAGTATATTATGATTACAATTTAAACTTTAGCATCTGGCTTTGTTAATCTTTGACAACACTCAAATCTATAATTCTGTCTCTGCTCCGTGTCTTTTTTTCTTCTTTGAAACTACCTTGAAGGACAACCAATGAACACAGAACTCTGGGGAGGGAGGGTCTGTATGGGGGGGGGGGGTAATGGTAAGATATGTACACAGATATAATTTAATTAAAAAAATAAGGGGGAAGAAAAGAAACTACCTTGAAGGAATTCATTTTTATACTATCTTACTTCTTCATATCTCATTTCTTTCTTATTCTAAATAGACTACACATTAATTCTGTCTTAGACAAGACAGGAAATTCAAAAGTGATATAAGAAAATGTAAACATATTTGACTACATAAAAACATTTTAAGATGGCTAAAGAGAGAATTTTAATTCTACAGAAACAGAGTAATCAGTTATAAAAATATACATACCAGCCCTAATTGATTTGGCTCTGTGGATAGAGCATCAGCTTGTGGATTGAAGGGTCCTGGGTTCAATTCCGGTCAGGGGCACATGCCCAGGATGTGGGTTTGAACCTCTTGGGGGTATGCAGAAGGCAGCAGGTCAGTGATTCTCTCTCATCATTGATGTTTCTATCTCTCTCTTCTGACTCATTTGGTTTTAGAGTTCTTATGGCCAATTTGTATTAAATAATTATTTAAAAAATATTTTCCAATGTACATTGAATATGCTAAAAAATGCAAATAAAAAAATTGGGCAATGATCTATAAAAATTTTCCTGGCTCTCAAAAATCTGGTTAACACAAGACAAATTCTTCTAATGAAATTCTTACTTTAAAAAAAATAGATATACATTATAGCTTTTTATTATTTTAATTAAAATTATTGGAGTGACACTGGTTAGTAAAATTGTGTCCACCACCCAAAGTCAAATCTTCTCTCACCATATATTTGATACCCTTTACTCTTCACCTCCTCCCCCTTCCTTTTGGTAACCACCATACTATTGTCTATACGTTTTTGTTTGGAAACTCTTACCTTTTAAAATAAAAAATATTTTAATTGAATCTCTAATACTATTAACAACAAAAAATATTTTTTTAATGAGAATTTTCTATATAGAAAAAAATAGAAACAGCCATTCAATTGTATTTGGGAAGATACATTCCTTATATTAACGAAAAATGGCAAGTTATAAACTCTCAGACTTTTATTTTTAAATAAATAAACAAATCATCCTCCTCTGGGATCAGATGCGTGCTTTCATTTGATCCTAAGATATTTCAGCCAGCCCAACGCTCATCAGCGCCGCTGGTGTAGTGGTATCATGCAAGATTCCCATTCTTGCGACCCGGGTTCGATTCCCGGGCGGCGCATGGCCTCTTTTACTCTCGCTACGAGATAACTTGAGTTGATGAAACCTTTCTTTTTCCGGAAACACAATTTTTAATGTGAATGAAAATGCTTATGCCATAATGTACTGTTGAAACATTCGAGTCTGGAGCGGGAAGACAAAAAAAGTTTCAAAGGACAAAAAGCGAGTCCTGAAGTAGTTAAGCCTTACGCCTGCGCAGTGGGAGACATTCCTAATGTCGGGCGGCGGGGCGTCTGCGCAACAAGTGAACCTACGGATCCGGGAGCCGCTCGCGACCGGAAGGTTGAAAGTGCAGGACTGTTCTGCGCATGCGCGGCCCGGGTCACTCCGCTGGCTGTTCTTAGGCTCCCGGCTCGCCGCCATCTTGTATTGGGGCTTCATTGTTCGCGCTGGGCCGGGCGGTTTAGTGTCATTGCCGCCGGGAGGAGGAGGCGGGATAACCTCCGGTCCGCCGAGAAATCCCGCTATTCTGCAAGCCAGAGCCACTCACACGTTTTGGGAGGTAGTCAAGGGTAGGGAGCTGGACCCAGAGGCGCCGCGGCGACAGCAGCAGCCATGGAGGACGAGATGCCCAAGACTCTGTGAGTCTGAGGCAACCATGAGGGGAGGCGGGATGGTGGTCGCCCCGGAGGGAGGCCTCGGCCCTTCGCTGCCCCCTGAGCTTGTGTGTCCTCCGTGGACGCCGCGGTTACCACGACCCCCTGTCCTTAGCGCACACCTGCCTGCTGAGGGACCGACCCCCCCGGGCTGTGAGAGGACCGACGAGTCGGAGGGCGTGGGGGGCTCAGCCACCAGAGCGAAGCCCTTCACTGCGCACCACAGCCTGGCCTCCGGCCTCGCCACCGGCCCCGGCGCGCTCCGGCCCGGAGGGGACAGTTTTTCATTCAAACCTCTTGTCAGAACGCGGCGAGCCTGCCTTTTGTCCCACGCTTCCCGTCTCCCTTTTCCCGCCCCCACTTCTTCCTCAGCCTCCTTTGGTCTTCACAGCCAACTGCCTTTCCTCTTTGATTTTTCTCCTCAAACTGTTCCCTCCTTCCTTCTCCTCCCCCCCTCCCCCCCATTAATTTTATTGAGGCTGCTTGTACTCGTTTTCAGTGAGTTAAACTTTATTCTCCGCAATTGCCTACTGGAAAAACAGCCAAATGGCTTTTCCTTTGACCTCTCTTTGGATTCACTTCCATAACACTTACTCCCCCCCCAACCAAAGAGCCTAACACCGGACACCCTAAGGATTTTGAAACTGCTTTTGGTGAAAAATGGAAATGTCACCTGGAGATATATATCAGCCGAGAGGCAGTAGACATAATGTATTTTTATCATCGTTTGGTACTTGTTAGGATTGACATGTTGCTGAAGGAGCAGGCAGCTTTTATGAAACGGCGGTTGATAAATACCTTTAACATATATAGTCACCTCTGAATTTTTACACTTAGCGTTAAATTATTTCAGCTTTTCATTGTTGTGTGGTTCTTCTCCCCCCCCCCCCGCCCCCCCAACACCCCCTTCCAGCATCCTCCTTTGTTTTTCAAAGTATGTGGGGAGAGTTGATTCTGTCATTGTTACTTTTCTGGAAAAGAAGGAGAAGTCTGATGAGTCTTTTTACATACCTTTTTTGTTTGAATTCTTATAATACTGACAGTGTGAGAACTCGATGCGTTAAAAACACAATTTTAGGTTTCTGCAACTCTAGACATTAAAGTTGTTACAAAGTACAATGTAATATTTTTTTCATCACCAAAAGTTTCTATGTTGTAATCTACATGAGAAATAATAGTCACGCTTGTTTTCTTAATAGATTAAACTTTTTTTCATAATTTACCTGATAATGTTAGTTACCTTAAGTATCTTTTTAATAGGATGCAGCAATTAGTGCATGACCTTCGTTTTTTTTAAAGATTGTATCTGTAGGTGAATACTCCCTAGAAAACTATTGGCCCATAGAGTTTATGGAAATCTATTTCCTCTTGCCTCTTTGCCAGAAGTATGATAGCCAACAAGCATATTGAGTGACACAGTGCTCATCTTTTATAATGTCTTCAAACTTAAGATTCTTAAATTATTTCAAATTTTTTAATTTCAGAAAATGCCAGAAAAATCTGGGATCTTAACCTTTTTAGCATGTTGATTTGGGAATATCAAATAATGAAGACAACTTCACCTTTCTCAGGCCATTCTACAAAAGCAGTGCAGGAAACCAACCATTGCAGGAGGAATAATGAAGGACGTTTTATTCAAACAAATACTTGGAGTGTTTATGATTTGCTAGGTTTCCGTGTAAAGTGTTTTACCTGTTTGTTTAATCCTCTCAGAACTCTGCAGTAAATGGGTCTATTTTGCAGCTGGAGAAAAGCCAAAGTCACCCAAGTTCATAAACTTTTTTGTTCATTTTCCTGCAACTCTTCTGTCCTCAGCTCTTAGCTCTTACATGTATGACTTATTTTGACATGTATACTTCACTAGAACACCCCATCTAAGAACCTTTTCTGCAGAGGAGTCCAAGCTCTAACATGTCCTGCTACCCTGTTTCCACGAAAATAAGACAGTGTCTTATTAATTTTCACTCTCAAAGATGCGCTAGGTCTTATTTTCAGGGGATGTCTTATTTTTCCATGAAGAAGAATACGGTACACATTTATTGTTAAATGAAAATAAAGGAAATTTATTACCTGTATATGGTACGGTAGTACGGTAGTTATCTACACAAACCAGACAAACTGTGAATCCTACAGTATCAAGAATTTACTCATTTATTGAATGACAATCATGTCATCATCTTCTGGAACATCATCATAACAATCCAATTCCTGAATTTCCTGGTGAATTTCTTGTGACTCCATTTCTTTCAGAATCAGTGGACCAAATCTCTCATGTTTAACCTAGGGGGGGCCTTATTTTTTTTTGGGGGGGATGTCTTATTCACTCAGAAGGAAACCTTTAAGTAGGTCTTATTTTCAGAGGATGTCTTATTTTCGGGGAAACAGTATCTGCTCTGCTTCTACAACCTTCAACCAAAGCTCCTATTCTTCCAGGGAGCCCAATCTAATATGAGTAGCTGCTAACCCCTAAATTTTCCCAGCAGTGTTTTTACTTTTAATATAAAATGTTTGTTTTAATGATTCTAAGAAGTCAAGGGCTTTTAATACATTCTTAGCACAGTATCTGATTTGTGGTAAGTGGTGAATAAATTTGTTTAAATTTATTTGTTTAAATTTAAACAAATAAATTTGTTTAAATTTATTCACCACTTACCACAAATACAATTCCAAGCAGTGAACCCAGATATTACTCATTCTTGGAGGTAAGATATTGTCTGAATCTCAGTATCATCCATGGCACCTAAATGGTTCAAAGCAAGCATGTCAAACTCAAAGGCTAACCCAGCTAAATAAGGTTTAAGTTTATGTGGGCTGCAAAAAAACAAAAGCTTCAATTTTCATAGAAACATGGGTTTATTTTGATAGAGACATGCTGAATACAAAGGGCTGAAATAAATGAGTAATCATTAACAGAATAATATAACATTTTAATAAAAATTAATATTTTTTGTTGAACATTAACTTACTAGACACTGAGTAACTGCACAAATAAGTATAATGAAATAAACCTATTTTTCTCCTCCAAAAAAGAAATATTTCCTATTGTGCACACCAAACAAGTCAGTACAAGACTTATATACAATACAAGACTAATGAAGTAGCAGTCAGCTGCTAAAATATTTGCTGCTAGTGTTAATGGAGAGAAATGGTGCACCTGCACGTAAGGCAAATGAATGCAACATGATTATAGTTAGCAGTCATTAGCAAATGTTGTAGTTCCTTATTAATAATTATGTATAACAGGATATTATAAAAATAAGTTAAGAAATTTTTATTAAGACATTTTTTACATACTATTGGCGCTGCAAAAATATTAGTTGTGGGCCACATGCAGCCCCACGGGTTGTGAGTTTGACATACTTGGCTCAGAGACTGCCTTCGTTTTCAGCAAATTAGTGTTCAGAATCACCTTGTTAAGTTAGAAATTGCCAATATTCAGTTTCTTGTCAGCAATACTTTTGAAATATATTGTGAGAAGTGGGTTGATTCTGGAGATATTTTGAAAGTAGAGCAACAGCAATTACCAGTGGTTTGTATGTGGGATGTGAGAATGAAGTCAACAATAAGGTTTGTTTACCAATGTGTAATTTCAGTCATTTAAAATGATAGTTTGTTGCAGAATGTAAGTAAAAATGAGAACAATTTTGAGATCATGAATATCTAGGATGTCTTCAGGCATAGTATTAGATACATTTGTTCAAGCTGGTTTGTAAATATAGCCTGATCTCCAAGTGAAGGTGTCGAAGGTGATAACATAAGAGGGTTTCAGCTATCATACAGACTATCTTTTGTGAAGAGTAAACAGTTGTTTAATAGTAAAGTTATGATGCTGGTGTAGAATGTGTGTGTATGTATAGGCAACTGTCCATACATAAAGGTTTACAATCCATATGGAAATAATATAATAAGTATTAGCATACTCACAACTGTATACCTATTTTGCCTATATAAATGCTTATATACATATATAAGACTGCAAGAGGGCGTAGGCTGGCTAAGGGACTCGCCCAAGTGCATGAATTTCATGCACTGTGCCTCTAGTATAGTAAAAGTAAAAATATCTTTATCAGATTTATCATTAGCTAAAAACCTATCTTATGTTTTTTATTAAAATTTTCACAGAGGCTTAATATCAAATTCTGCGCTTTTTAGTAAATTTATCTTTATTGTTTAAAGTATAACAGATGTCCCCTTATTTTCCCCCATTGACCTTCTCCACCTACATTTTTATACAATAACTAGAGGCCTGATGCACAAAATTTGTGCAAGAGTAGGCCTTCCTTCCCCCAGCTGCCGGCACCAGCTTCTCTCTGGCATCTGGGACCCAGGCTTACCTCACAGCCCTGGCTTCATCCAGAAGGTCATTCGAAAGGATGTCTGGTTTAATTAGCATATTATAATTTTATTATTATAGATTGTGGCTCAAAACAATGCATCATAACTTTCTGTTTTATAAATGTTTTCTTTAGGTTAAACTTTTAAAAGTTGTAGTAATATGAATTAATGTATGTTTTAGAGTCCAGTTTTATAACTCTCTGAACTTAGTTATCAGCTTCAAAAATATATGTTAAATTGATATAAAATTCTATCCCTGGCAGAATGGCAAGTTTTCATTAATAACTTTTTATTCTGAAAATTTTAAAACAGAAAAGTAACAAAAAATAGTACATCAAAGAGTTACATAACTTTTGTGTGGATTTATCCATTGCTAATAGCTAAATACTCAAAAGTAATTATATGAGAATGCAGTTATCTTTTTTTTTTAACCGTTTGAGAAAACATCATTACACTTTAGGCCTGTTTTACCCTATATTTTCCTTCTGAAAACAAGGGCATTCTCTTAAATAGCCATGATAAACAAGGGCATTCTCTTAAATAGCCATGATAAAATTTTCATATTAAGGAGACTACATTCATACAAATTTTGTTGTTAATCCTCACCTGAGGATATTTTTTCCATTGAGTTTTTGGTTTGGGTTTTTGTT